ATGCTCACTCAAGTGGGTGCTGGCAAAAGTCTCAGTTCCTTGTCACATGAACATCTCCATTGGGCTACTCAAGATATGGCAGCTGGCTCACTCCAGAGCAAATGATCAGAGAGACACAGAGAGAGAAACCAAGGTGGAGGTGCAATGACTTTTATAACCTAATCTCAGAAATAGTATCACTTGTATCCTATTGTTCATACACATTAACCCTGATAAAATGTGTGAGGAAATGACACAAAGGTGCAAATGTCAGGAAGCAGGGATCGTTGGGGGCCATCTTGGAGGGTTGCTCCCACACTGATCACAGTTGAAGGTGAGTGCTAGTGGTCCTGAGATGTTTGTAAATAGGTTAGTGGATGCCCAGGGACGTGGAAATCTAAGAGGCTGTCTCCTTTGTTTTGCAGCTGAGGAAACTGAGAAGTTTAGGGATTTACTCAAGAGTATGTAGGTCCTTTTGGCAGGAGGGTCAGGAGCCCAGGGTCTCAGTCCTGCCTTGGTCCCCATAAGAAGCACCAATCCCACCTCTCCCTGACTTCCATCTGCAGGTGCAGATGCTGGGGTCCTGGCACATCAAGGACTAGGTCAAGGTCACCTTGCCCAGTCTCTCAAGAGTTCCTGCTTCCCTGGAGCTGTTCTCTCATGTTTTCTCCCAGTCAAAACTGAAGACAATCCCACTTACTAGCCCAGAGAGAAGCATATGCCACTGTGTTGGCATTGCCAGATACAAGTCCATGCTAGCCTTCTACGATCCCACTGCCATTTGGAGTCTGATATTGAACTATTTCAGGGCTCTGTAATCTCTGAGCAAAATGAAACACTACCCCGAACTGGAAGGGGGCATGAGAAGGTGTGCTGTCATGCTGTATCTTTATCTGAATGCTGTTTACATGGGTTATTCATTCTGTGAAAACTCAAGTTGTACACTTGCAATTTATAAAATTTTCTATTGGGATATTATAACTAAATATTCATAAATTCATAAATTATATAAATTTATAAATTCATAAATTTAAATACTAGAACTTAAAAAAGAAATAGTTCCAAAGATAGGAGTATAATATATCCAGGGCCTGGACAGAAGGGAAGCATTCTTTCTGAGCTGTTGCCACCTTCTGTTCTCCAGGTACCATAGGGAAGCAAGGTCCCAGTGACTGCAGCATCCTCTGCAGTAATGGGGCAATAATGGGTATTTTCCACGGTCAGGATCAAACCGTGTGACCCTAAGTGCTTTCTTCTAGTAGACAGTTCACTGGGATGAGGAACAGGGAGAATCAATGGGGTCAAACCAGAACATCAAGTAGAAAATTTAAAAAGGTGCACACTGCTTCTTTTCCTTGAGTGTACCCATGTTTAACCCTTGTTCTCTATACCCCATCCTGGGTTTTACCTGCCCGGGCACCAGTTCACCATCCTTCTTGACCCTGGCAGATAAAATAGACCAGGCAGTGGTGGAAGGAAGACCCAGCTCTCCTCTTGGAGGAGCCCAGTCCATGAGCACCCCCCAGCTCTCCTGCCCACCCTGGAGCTGAGGCTGTCCCAACCAGGCTATCTCTGTAGCAAGTTGTAGGCTGGTGGAATTAGATGGGGCTATTGGGTCTGAGTGGTCCCTCCACACAGTTCACACCCGACTCCTGCATGGTCATCATCCTGTAGCTTTGTGACCACGGTGCCTAGCACATGGCAGTTAATGCCTGATGAAGGAAGGAAGGGCCTCAGGCAGGATTCTTTTTCTTATTTTCCTGTCATGTGGAGTCATAGTAGAAATAGGAGTGACTGAGAGACACAAAAGTAGATGGAGAGTCAGGGAAGAAGTTAGTGGCAAGGATCCTGGCTGTCCAGGGGCCAGGTCCTCTGGTGGGTCAGAATTTTCCTATTTTCCCTTTCCTTTCCCAGCCAGGCCAGGGAAAGTCCTGTCGCACTGAATTACACACTCAACCCATCCCTATGATCTGGAGGCTACACTAGGGGGAAGTGACCCTTGAGATGCGCAGCAGAATGTGTTAAGCTAGCACAGAGGTTTTCCCTAGTAGCTGGATGGATGGGGATTCAGTTGTGGCCACAGCTAATGTTCCAACTCTAGGGTCCTTGCAGTGGCTTTCTTAGTGTTCTTAAATTGATCTGTTCCCCAGGGTCACCAAGCCCACCCAACCATTGCAGCTAGCCTGGTGCTGCAGCCTGGCTAGAAACCGAAGCCATTTCTCTTGCCCATTTGCCAGGGTACTTCTTTGAAGCCATCCTAGACTGGAATCCAGTTCCCAGCCCCTCACTGAGCTCATTGTCCTCTGACCTGTTGAGGCCTGTGATAGGGCTCATACCACACTCAGTACATTGATGCTCCACCCCAGCTTTGCCAGGGCACTTTCTACCTCAGTGCCAGTCCCTGTGCTTCTAACCACTTCCACCTCTCTCTGCATAACCCCTCACGTGCACCAGCAGGGTCCTAAGAGTGCTTCCCAGTCTGCCTGGTGGTCTTGGGCCCCACTGGAGTCCCACAGCCCTGGGCCAGCTCTCTGGCTGCCCTGTTAATGCTGCTCATGAGAAGCATTTCCCCTGCCGGCTGAGATCCAGGCAGCCCCTTAGGCCCTGGGTACACAGTTCACTACAGTGGCAAAGACCTAGGCCAGAGACAAAACGCAGGATGTGATATGGCTAGAAAAGAAAATGCTCTGGGGGGAAGAAGCCCCCTCCTCCCCTCTTCTCTCCACCCCCTGCCCTTCTGCAGCCCCTGCATGTCTGTTCTGCTTCCACCTGCGTGTTCTGGGCTGCCTCTGACTTATCCCTGCATACTCACTCTGGGATGCTGACATGGCAGGGCTGTGGGGGGGATGGCCATGGATCTAGAGTCTTGGAAGAGATGGGCTGGGCTGGCATTACAGCTAGGCAGCCACTCCCTCTTCCTCTCTGAGATTCTCTCCCTCAGAACAATGGGTCCCTTCCCCCTCCTGTGTGGGAGACTGCTGCACCAGCCTGCCCAGCCTCTGCCTCTGCCAGCAGTCACAGCCCTCCCACCTGGACTCCTCCTCCTGACCAGCTGCAGAGTCACACTTTCTCCCCTGCTCACACCTCCCTCTCCTGCTTCCTGCCTCTCCCGAGTAAGCACAAGAACCATTTCCTTATGAAGTTATTGCTAATCCCAAAGGCTGGGACGTTCCAGAGAAACCAACGCAGAGCCATGGCCAAGGTTCCAGCTCCCTGGACTCTCACTCAGGGTTGGAGATCCCGGTGCCCTTTCCAAGAGATTTTGGGAACCGAGGCTGTGAGCTGCCTGAGGAACATTAAGGGACTTGCCTTATGCACTTCTGGTTCCTACAGAATCCACTCTGGGGACTCTGACACAGAATAAAGGCTGGTAAGGAATTCTCTGATGGTCCTTGTTCAAATTTATTAGAAAACTGCCCCCGCCCTTTCTCTCAGTTCTGTGGGAAGTGCTGATTCAGAGGCAAAGGCGAGAATGAGTCTACCCACCATTCAATTGGTGGGTCAGTCCCACTTCAGAACCTGCAGTGACAAAATTCTAGGGAGACTCTGGGGCCCCAAGGCTCACAGAGCAGCAACAGCTCCAGCTGTTCTCTGGTGCCACAGTGCCCAGCAAGTCCCCAGAGACAGAGGCAGGGCTGTCCCCAGGCACTGCCTTTGTTCTCCTCCCCTGAGAAGAGGGCCACACCTGTTCCACTCTGCCTCACCCCTGGACAGACTTGCTCAGGGATGCTTAAGTGACAGGCTGTGGGAAGGTATGGCCAAGAAACTAGATCCTCGCTCATGGAGGATCAGAGGCTCAGGCACATCTCCAGTTACCACTGGAGTCTGGTCCTTGTAACCCAGCCAGTCAGGATGTTTTGTGGGAAAAGCATTCTAAGATCAAAACCAAGTTTGGGTGAAGCCATAAGCTCTGGCACCTCTTGCTGGGAAGGAGTGGTCACAGTGCACATCAGCACAGTAAAGGCTCTGAGAAGCCTTGAGAAAAATAAACGTATTCCACTTAAATCCGTGGATCCTAAACTTATTTGAACAGACTTTTTTTTTTCTTTTTGGCAGAACACATGCTAACGGAACACCTTTTACACCTTTTGGAACCACTGTTAACTCAGCCTCTTTCCTCACCAGGAAAGGTGTCACTGCCCTCACTGTACCAACCAGGACTGTCTCAGGTAATCCTCACTACTCAAGTGTGTCCATGGAGCAGCAGAATCGGCTCCTTATACCTTGTGAGAAATGCAGAATCACAGGCCCCACCCCAGACCTACTGATCAGAATCTGCCTGTTAATAGGATCCCCAGGTGATTAATGCAAGGTTTGAGAAGCATGGTTCTACATCTTCCAGTCTTCCTCCTCTAAGACGGCAAGTTAGGTCATCTCCCCAACCAGGTGGGGCCTCCAGACCCCATATCCAGTTGAAATTTTTTTTTTTTGTCTTTTTTTTTTTGTTTGTGACCGGCAACGGATCGCAACCCTCAGTGTCGCACCCGTACCGGACTGGGACCGGCAACGGGATCGCAACCCTCGGTGTTGCGCCCACACCTCGCTCAGCCAGTGAGCGGCCGGTCTGTATGTGGGATCCGAACCCTTGGCGGGAGCGCCACCGCACTTCCCAAGCGGCGCACTGTAGCAGTGCGCCACCGGGCCGGCCCCAGTTGAAATATTTTGAACTGTGCAACTATGTTTGGAAAATTCCCCATATTATGAGTTCTTCCTTCCCAAGGGTCTATGAGGCGAACCAAGGGGGACCACCAGTCATTGAAAAGGACTTGCTTCTGCAGAGGCTTATAAAAAGGACCAAGGAGTTCTTCTGGCTCAGTCTTCCCATCCCTGCTCAGATGTCTCTTCCACAGAAGTGCCTACAGGAGCCTACACATCTTGACCTCAAGATAATCACGTTGGGGATCCAACCAGAGTTGCCACTGAGAGTCAGTCACAGCCTCCCCTATGAGGTCACAAGAGCCAAACACAGTCACCCTTAGCAGCTCTGCCCCCAACCCCTTAGAAGGAAAGGTGAGCCAGCATCTAGGGAGAAGACATTTTATTGAGACTTTCCTACATAAATAGCTACAGAAAGCTGAGGATTGAAGGGAACAGTGGCTGTCTCCCCCTGCACAGGTCACTAAGGAACGTGTGGGGAGGGGAATGGAGGAGGACCTGGTAATGACCAGAGACAGGACCCCCTGGATGCTAACTGGCATGAGCAATCTGATGGGGGGGGGGAGAAAAAGTGAGAGGGACTAACAGCTCAGGTGTCATGGGGGAAGACAGGTGGGGCCCAAAGAGGTCACAGCACTCGGGAGTCACTGGGTCAGGGCCTGTATTACGTCCTTCACCAACATGGTGCCAATCACCATCTTCTCGCTGTTGATGGTCAACTGGGCAGCTCCAGCTGGCCGGGCGTCCAGGGTCAGCAGGACCAGGCTCCCGCTGGTCAGTGTCCTGCCTGCAAACCTGAGGTGAGAGTAGAGGAGGGGTGGGGGAGAGCTGCTAAAGGTGACTGTTTGGAAGGGGCTCGGCCCCTGAGGCAAAGGGCCTCTCCTTCAAATCAGGCCACCTGAGAACCCATCCCTTCCCCTGTACTGGTGGCCAAGTACCTGTACTCATCAGATGTCCCACAAGGGACACGACCCAGGTTGGCAGTGGTAGTCACTTTCTGCACCACAATGTGGTCGCTCCGACAGGTGTCTGGCAGTGTGAGCTTCTCTGTGATCTCGTTCATGCCCGTCAGCTTTCCTGGGGGCAGAGGTCATAATGAGGGCAGAGGCTAGCGCCTGGGCCTGCTTACTGAATATCTTCATTAAGCTCCCACAGGCTGGGCAGCTCTCATGCTTAGGGCAGGTCGGAATTTCCCTCATTCATCTTGGATGTGGCCCTCACCCAGGAAGCCTCTGTCAGCCTTCCCACCCCACCCACACAAGGGTTCATCCAGTTGTCCAAAAACTGATTTGGCACTTCCCCCTGTTAGACACCTGGGCCACCAGTCCCTTGGCGTGGCCAGTGGACCTAGTGGTCAGTCAGTTCTTAGAGGTTCCCCCACCCGGGACCCCATTCCTTTTGGTCTTGCCTATGTGGCCTTCCAACCCACTTTCAACTCCTTCACAGCTCCCAGAGGTTGAGCCCTCACAAAGAAATCCCAGATGGCTGCTGGAGTCCTGGCCAGAGTCCAGTGGTCACACGTAGCCCTCATGGGCAGACCCCTAGCTGCCCCTAGCAGCAGCAGCTCCAGACCTGGCCAGAGCTCCTGAAGCCTCCAGGCCCTTACAGCATCCCCCAAACCCCTCATTCTACAGGGCTGACCTCTCCTCTCCACTCACCAGCCCCAGGCCAGGCATGTGAGCTCCTTCCTCTGCCCTTCTGCATAACAATGCCTTGTCTTCAGCCTCACTCGTCCCTCTCCCATTCTTCTCCTCCTTTTGAGAACTGACATCCCTTTCCTGTTTCTTCCATCCTCTCCATTCATGACTAATCACATTTTCTTGCCCTTCTACCTTCAGTCTGTTCATGTTCAAGTCTCTCCATTTCTAGAAAGTCCTTTCCAGAAGCAAGATCTTTCAACATGCCCATGGCCTGCCTCCCTACCCATTCGCAGACAAAGTCCTCCAAAGACGACTCAATTCCTCTAGCCCTGGTCACCCTTACCCACTGCAATTGGCCTCTGCCCTCCTTTAGCAATCAAACACTCTCCCTAAGTTTGGCGGTGGCCTTCTACATGCTAAATCTGAAGGTCTTTAGTCACCGTGGCCTGCAGACCACCCCAAGGCACCCTTCTGCCTTGGCATCTCTCCTAATTCTGTTCCTACCTCTCTGCTCCTTTTCTTATCTCTCCCTTCCTGTTACTTCTGCAGAATTCAAGTTTTCCCCAAGGTCCTGTCCTTGGCATTCTTATCCTCCCCACACCCAGGGTGATCTCAGTCATACTCACAGATTCCATTGCCACCTCTAGGCTCATGACTCCAGCCTCAAGGTGTTTCTTGGGCACAGACCCACATTTTCAACTGCATACTAGACACCTTCTCCTGAATTTCCCAAAAGCATTTCAAAATTGGCTTATTCAAAACCTGCATTTCATAGAATGAGTTTGGGAGAATGGCTTCTGTTTCAATTTTTTGGAATAGTGTGAAGAGAATTGGTATTACTTCATTTTTAAAGGTTTGGTAGAATTCAGAAGTAAAGCCATTCAGTCCTGGGCTTTTCTTTGTTGGGAGATTGCTGATTACTACTTCAGTCTCATTGCTTGTTATTGGTCTATTCAGGTTTTCTATGTCTTCTTGCTTCAGTTATGGTAGTTTGTATGTATCCAGAAATTTATCCATCTCCTCGAGGTTTTCAAATTTGTTGGCCTAGGGCCGGCCCGTGGCTCACTCTGGAGAGTGCGGTGCTGATAACACCAAGGCCCCGGGTTCGGATCCCATATAGGGATGGCTGGTTTGCTCACTGGCTGAGCGTGGTGCTGACAACACCAAGCCAAGGGTTGAGATCCCCTTACCGGTCATCTTTAAAAAAAAAAAAAAAATTTGTTGGCCTATAGTTGTTAATAATAGTCTCTAGTGATTCTTTGTATTTTTGTGCTATCAGTTGTAATGTTTCCTTGATTTTTGTTATTTGGGTCTTCTCTTTTCTTTTTTTAGTTAGCCTAGCTAATGGCTTAGGCCATTTGTCAATTTTGTTTATCTTCTCAAAAAACAACTTTTTGTTTCATTGATCTTTTTTATCATTTTTGGGGTCTCTAATTCATTTAGTTCTGCTCTGATCTTAATTATTTCTTTCCATTTACTAATTTTGGAGCTGGATTGTTCTTGTTTTTCTAGTTCTTTGAGGTGTAGTGTTAGGTTGTTTATCTGAAAACTTTCTATTTTGATTCTTTCTATACTTTCTAGGCATTTATTGCAATAAAATTCCCCCTTAGTACTGCTTTTTCTGTATCCCACAGGTTTTGTTATGATAGGTTTTATTTTCATTAGTTTCAAGAAATTTTTTGATTTCCTGTTTAATTTTTTCTTGGACCTATACGTCTTTCAGAAGGGTGTTGTTTAATTTCCAAGGAGGCCATTCTCCCAAATTCATTCTACGATGCCAGCATCATCCTGATAGCAAAATCAGACAGAGATACAATGAAAAAAGAAAACTACAGGCCAGTATCTCTGATGAATGTAGATGCAAAAATATTCAACAAAGTATTAGCAAACAGAATACAGCAACACAACAAAAAAATAAACCCCACGATAACCAGGGATGCAAGGATGGTTCAACATACACAAATCAATCAATATGATACACCACATCAAAAAAAAAAAAAAAAAGAACAGAAACCACAATTATCTCAATAGATGCAGAAAAAGCATTTGACAAAATTCAACATCCCTTCATGATAAAGTCTCTCAGCAAATTAAGCATAGAAGGAAGGTATCTCAACACAATAAAAGCCATATATGACAAACCTACTGACAATATCCTGAATGTGGAAAAGCTGAAAGCTTTTCCCTTAAGAACACGGACAAGACAAGGATGTCCACTCTCACCACTCCTATTTAACATAGTTTTGGAAGTACTAGCCATCGCAATCTGGCAAGAGAAAGAAATAAAGGGCATCCAGATTAGAAAAGATGAAGTCAAACTGTACCTGTTTGCAGATGACATGATCCTATATAGTGAAAAACCTAAAGACTCTACCAAGAAACTTTTAGAGCTCATAAACGAATTCAGGAAAGCTGCAGGATACAAAATCAACACACAGTTTTTATACTCCAATAACAAACTAGCAGAAAAAGAAATCAAGAGAGCAAGCTCATTTACAATAGTCACCAAAAAAAATAAAATACCTCGGAATCAACTTAACCAAGGAGGTGAAAGAACTCTACAATGAGAACTGCAAATCATTGCTGAAAGAAATTAAAGAGGACACAAAAGGATGGAAAGATATTACATGCTCTTGGATTGGAAGAATTAACATTATGAAAATGTCCATACTACCCCAAACAATCTACAGATTCAATGTAATCTCCATCAAAATACCAATGACTTTCTTCGCATGGAAAAATAATCCTAATATTCACATGGAACAACATAAAACCATGAATAGCCAAAGAAATTCTCAGCAAAAAAAATAAAGCCGGAGACATTACACTACCTGACTTTACATTATACTATAAAGCTATAATAACCAAAACAGCATGGTACTGACATAGAAACAGACACTCAGACTAATGGAACAGAACAGAGAACCCAGAAATCAATCCACATACTTACAGCCAACTGATCTTTGACAAAAGCAACAAGAACATACACTGGGGAAAAGACTGCCTCTTCAATAAATGGTGCTGGGAAAACTGGATATCCATATGTAGAAGAATGAAACTAGATCCATACCTCTCACCATATACCAAAATCAACTCAAAATGGATTAAAAACTTACATAATAATACCCTAAACTATAAATCTACTAAAAAAAAACATAAGGGAAACACTTCAGGAAGTAGGACTGGGCAAAGACTATGAATAATACCCAAGAGCACAAGCAACAAAAGAAAAAATAAACAAATGGGATTATATCACACTAAAAAGCTTCTGCACAGCAAAAGAAACTATTAATGGAGCAAAAAGACAACTACAGAATGGGAGAAAATATTCACAAACTATGCAGCCAACAAGGGGTTAATATCTAGAATATACAAGGAACTCAAACAACTCAAGAGTAAAACAAGTCACCTGATTTAAAAAATGGGCAAAGGAGTTGAATAGGCATTTCTCAAAGGAAGATACACAAATGGCCCAACAGACACATGAAAAAATGCTCAACATCACTAATCATCAGTGAAATGCAAATCAAAACCACTTTGAGATACCATCTCACCAGAGTTAGACTGGCCATTATCAAAAAGACAGAGAATAACAGATGCTGGTGAAGAGGCAGAGATAAGGGGAACCCTCCTACACTATTGGTGGGACTGTAAATTAGTGCAGCCATTAAAGAATATGGAGGTTCCTGAGACAACTACAGATAGAACTGCCATAAGATGCAGCAATTCCACTGCTGGGTATATACCCAATGGAATGGGAATCATTACGTCAAAGGAATAACTGGACTCCCATGTTTACTGCAGTTCTATTTACAATAGCCAAGATATGGAACCAACCTAAATGTCCATTGATGGACAACTGGATAAGGAAAATGTGGTATATATATATATATACAATGGCATACTACTCAGCCATGAAAAAGAATGACATTCTGCCATTTGCAGTAACATGGATGAACTTAGAAAAATTATGTTAAGTGAAATAAGCCAGACAGAAAGAGAAATACCACATGTCCTCACAAGTGAGAATTAAAAAATAAATTTAAAAAGGAAGAAAGAAAGGTATAACAATCACAATAATTCATTGAACTTTCAAAAGGAGAAAACAGAACCGAGGCCACCAGAGGTTGGGGTGGAGAGGGTTAGCAATAAATTGGTAATGGACCACAAAAGATGATTACATTGTGTAATGTTGAACATACTTATTATCCTGATTTGATCATCACATAATGGACACAGGTACCAATATTCAATGCTGTACCCCACAGATACATACAGTTCATTACTTTTCAATAAAAAAGAATTAAATAAAACTTGTATTTCAAAATTGACTTATCCAAAACTAAATGTGATCTTCTCTCTTTCCCTTCCCCAACCTGTTCTTTCTTCTAGATCAGGGAAGAGTTTTGCAAATTACAGCCTGTAGGGCAAAGCCAGTCCACTACCTATATGGCCCACAATGTTTTTTACATTTTGAAAGTGTTGGGGAAAAAATCACAAGAAGATTAATATTTCACGGCACATGAAAATTATGTGAAATTTAAACTAGTGTTTATAAATAAAATTGGAACACAGCCACACTCATTCACTTACATTCTGTCTATGGCTATATTTGTGTTACAACAGCAGAGGTGAGTAAGAGCAACAGAGGCCACATGACCCTCAAAGCATAAAACGTTTACTTTATGGCCCTTTACAGAAAAATGTTTGCCAACCCCTGGTCTAGATGAAGGGCACCACCATTCTCCCTACCAACCAAGCCAGAAATTCTAGCACTAGCTTGTATACCTCTCTCTCCCTGAGCACTCTCCCTGCCCACCCCCAGGGGGCACTCACCCTGTTCCTTTTTGAACTCATTCTCACTCATGAACACAGGGGCCATCAGCTCCCCAACAGGTGGCTGAATGGAGACGTAGAACTGTCGGGTTTGAGTGCTGGAAAGGGTGGAAGGAGATGGAGAGAGAGAAGTGAGGCCAGCATCTCTCCCCTCACCTCCACCTTGTCTAGAAGCAAGGCTTGGATGCAGCAGGACAGTGAGGTAGGACCCGAGGGCTTGGGATGGCTCCCAGACCCACCCAATCTCAATGTATCCCCACCTACCACCACCTCCAGCTTTGGTTCATTCTGGCCCTGCCTCTCTCCAGCCTACCCTCCACCCCACCATGAGGTGGACACATACCACAGCTGGAAGTTGGCTGCCTGGGTTGAGTCACAGAAATTAATGCCCATTACAGCAGTGGCAGATTCTCCAGGTGCCAGAGACTCTGAAGCAGTGTGAGGCAGGGCAAAAGGGAGAGAGAGACACCATAACCTGGCAGTTCTGGAGCACAGTCTAGCCCCATCCTCCCCTCCACTGTCAGAGCTGACCAGCCATCTTTGGAATCCTGGCTTTCTGGGCCCCTGGAGACTGTTCCTGGTTTCCGCCTGCAATCTAAGTATCCTTCCCCCACCCACCCTTGCCCCACTTAAGTCAGTCCTGAAAGAACCAAGGCCCAGATCTGCTGCTGCAAGAATCTCCTGCCCTGATACAAACTTGCTTGTGTTCTAATCTATCTTGCCCACCATGTTAGATGTCATCTGTGTGCCCCCATGGCCTAGTCCCTGGCCTGGCACAAAGAGGGTATCAGTAACCACAGAAGGACTGACTCTGCCCAGGAGCCTCTTCCTCTACCCTGTTCAAGGCCTTTCCATACCGATTTCAGGAAATTCTTGGATGCTGATGCCAGCAGGCAGTTTGGGGGTGCCTATATGCAGGCCATTGATGGGGGTATCAGAATTATTGGAGAAGTAGACGTGCACAGACACCATGTGGGGGCCACCAGAGAAAGGCTGGCGGCTGAAGGCATAGTCCACGGCTAGCCCCTCGCCAGCTACCCGGTGCAGCAGCTCCTGCCTCCCAACACCTGACATTGGACTCAGCAGCTAAAGCAGAGGAGTAGGGGAAATACGGAAATAAACACAAAGTAGAGTCTGTCCCAGCTTTGTCCCCACCTAGGGCCATCCAGCAACTGGAACTCACAGCTACCCTCTTTATCACTCCTCCTGTACACACACACGCACACACACACACACACACACACACACACACTCTCTCTCTCTCTCTCTCTCCCTCTCTCTCTCTCTCTCAAATCCACACCATAGGATGCAGCAGAGATGTGTCCCTGCCCCAGCCCAGTCCCTCCCATCCCACTCACCGAGGGCACCAGCGAGGAATCTGTGAGTGTCAGACCCTCCAGGTCAGCAGCCAGACTGGTGGACACAACCATGGAGGGAGACACAGGCTGGACACTGGGAGGGGTGACTGTGGGAATAGATAAGAAAGACTACGATGAAGGAGAGGGAAAGTGGAGTTGGCTCAGGTTGAGCAGGAAGCCCAGGGCTCAAGAGGCAACCAGTTCAGCACCACGGACAGCAAGGCACATGGCAGTCTGGAGGCTTTCAGTGATACACCCACCCTGGACCCCAACCCCACATGTGCAGAGGTCATCCTGCTGTCCTGTTAGGCCTGAAGATGTGTTCTGTCTATTTCTCTGCCCCAAGACCTGAGGAACCTGATCCAGAGCCCCCACGTACCCTCCTAAGTTGTTCCCCAGGGCTCCTTCCCTCTGTGATTTGTATCACCCAAACTCACAGTCCTCCAGATCAAGCAGAGAGATTTCCTTGGTGGCCGGGGCACTTTTGCTGCTGGGAGGCTGAAAGAGAAAAATGTGGAATGTGGGAGTGGGGAAGGCAAGCGCCCTGGGTTGTTCTGGGTTTGGTGGAATATTCCATGGGCTGTTCTGGATGGTGGGGAGATGTCTGTGCCTGGCCCAGAGGGTCAGAAGGGCCCTAGCCCATAAGCCCACCTCTTCTCTACCCCAAGCCCCTCACTGTTTTCCTCCTCCAGGAGGCAGGTTCCACTTGCTCCTCCTCAGACTCTGATGTCATCTCGGACTCTGATGAGCTACTGCTGGAATCACTGCCCTCATCTGAGGACGAGCCTTCTCCTTGTCCCTCTGGCACCTTCTTCTTCTTCATTTTCCTCTTCTCACCTTCCTCCTCACTCTGTTCACTGGGGGAGAGTGGGAAGGCAGGGCTCAGGCCTGGCCTGGACACCCCCTCCTTTCCTCACAGAAGAACAGGGGAAGGCTTGAAAAGCGGGGGTGGGGAGCATGGGCCCGCAGATTCCATACCTGGATTCCCATGCCTGAGGCCTGATGAGAGCTTTGAACCAGCTTGTGCCAGCTTAGGCTTCAGGCCCTATTACTTCTTCATGCCACCCTCCTGAGGACTGAGACCTTCTGCAGCCAGCAAAGGCAACTACCTGAGCTGACCATGGGTCTGCCAGCCCCCACCAGCTCATGAGAAGCTCAGGGACTCTTAGGACCCAGAACACTGGCTAAGGCTCAGTGTTAGCCCTTCTTTTCCAAGGGAGACCCCTGAACCCCATCAGCCATCTATCTGGCTCCCCCTTACCTCTCGCTGCCTCTCCCTTTCTCCTCATCCTCATCTTGATCTTCATTATCAGACTCACTGCTGGACTCCCCAGAGCCACTCTCGCTGCTGCTATTACTGTCCGACTCACTCTCAGACTCAGGATCTACGGGGGAACTGTGTCAGACTTCCTGCGGTCTGGAGCAGATGCCTGGGGTTCCTGGCTTCAGATTCAGCACTGAAGCTGCAAACCCCTCTGACCTGCTCCCAGCCCCAGATGCCAACTGGAACGGACTGGGACACAGAGGGACTCATAGGGATAGAGACTGCACAGGCACACACACACCTGGGATATGCAGTCCCTCAAGTGCACAAACACACATACAGCAGCTCACAAGCAGGTGCCCACTCCCTTTGACACACCCCTCAGAGGTCAGTCACACAGGCACACATGTGGACAGGAGCACAGAGGGCCCCAGCTCCGCCTGTCTCCTCACCACTGTCTGCAGACTCCGTGGGGCCTGACTCCCCCTCAGAGTCTGAGTAGAAGGGTTTTTCCTTCTCCTTCCTCTTCTCCCGGTTTGAGCATTTCGTCCATTCAGGTACCTGGAGATGAGGGTAGGTGGGGGGGTCCACATCATCATGGTTGGAGAGGGGGGAAGGAAAGAAGGCCCTTCTTACCCTTCACCCCACCTCTTCTTGGGGCCCTACCTGGTCCTGTCCCCAAAAGGGAATAATGGGGGAAGAGGGAAGGGGAACTGTCCACGGAGAGGAGGGGATGCTGCTCAGAGGGGGCCCTGCCAAACCACAGAGGAAACAGATTAAGGAGGGCACAGGAGCCCAGCACCCGGGGGAAGGGGAGGGTGCAGCACAGGGTGGGGAGAGAGCACACGGCACACGGGGAGGGGAGACCTCAGTGTATTCGCCCAACAGGCCCACGTGGGTCTCAATAAGGGAGAGGTCTTCTTCCTGTGTGGGGAGGGTGTCAGGAGGGCTGGGCCAGCACTGCCAGGGCACCCTGCTGTCTGTCCCTCTCAGTCCCCACACACAATTCAACCCTCCACCCATGCTGACCTCCACGTTGCGCACAGATGGGTCTGGGGCTTCCTCTGGCCAGTCTGGGAGCTCCTGGTAGCCAGTGGCCTTGGCATTGAGAAGGTGGGACAGTGAGCCCAGCTGGAAGTGATCCCGGTCTGGGGACAGGTTCAGAGATCAGGCAAGTAATGGCAGTGAGGAAATGCCCAGGGAGTTGTTCCCTAGGTGGGGCTGGGTGGTGATTCTTCCCCTCCCTGGCTGGGTACAGGAAGGAAATGGATGTGTCCCCTAACGGCTTTTCACCCTGACTGCAACTTCAGGCTCACATGATGGAAGAAAAGGTTGTCCTGCTAGGCAAGAGGAGGGACTGAGGGGACAGCAGGGGCAGGCAGGAGGGCACTGTGAGCACAGAGGTGCTGCCACCTGTCTGCTCGGATCTCCTGAGTGACGCAGAAGCATGAGTGGGCTTCTCTTCCAGGGAAGCAGGGCCATGCGCTAGTGCACGGTCAGGCTTGAGGGAGGCCTAAGTGAGCTGAGGATGGCAGCTGGGAATGAGAGGCTGGCCGGGCTGGATAAGGGGAAGGAGGCTGTCTGGCCCGGCTCTGGACTCAGCGGGAAGGGTGAGCAGTCAGAATGGGAGCAGGAGGGAGTCAGGGACAGAGGTCGGGCACATGATACAGGAGGGCAGCAGAGACCTGTGAGTGAGGATGGTGTCATGGAGAAAGGGACTGCTGCCCTTCCTCCTGGGAGATTTTCAAAGCTGCCCTGACCCGTCAGAATCTCCCTATTCCTGAGGTCCAGGGAAGCGAAGAATGAAAAGATACCCAGGAGAACCAAGCTTTGTGAAAGAGGCTCCTTTCCTATGTGGGTTTTTGGATTTGGTTCCTGGGGTCCAGAGAGTCAGCTGGAGGCCGCTCCCCACCAGGCCCCTCTCAGAGCCCTTCCCACAGGAGGGGAGGCTGTCAGGGCCAAGCCCGACAGAGGAATGGCTGAAAGCCTGGGGCCCGGGCTGTGGGCTGACCTCTAGTCACTCAGCCCACAGTGCTGGCACCCACTTTCTCAGGACTTTTATAAATGTGCACCTCTCCTTTGCATGTTGTTTTACTTCCTGCCCTCCTGGGTCCTTGAGATTTCTTGATACAGATTTCCAAGCCTAGTGCTTGCTCAGGGAGGGAGATGGAAAGGGGACCTGAGAGGAGCCAGGAGCCAGCAACCCATCCTGGCAGATACCCAGGTGAGACGATACAGGTGGTGGGCATGGCTAGGTAAGAGAGTAGGCCCTGGGGCTACAGGAGGGGCAAAAGGGGTGAGCTGGGGGGTGGGGAGGGCAGGACCAACTTTCTCCAGAAGTCCCGCCACAGAAGCCTGGTGCCCAGCTACGGCTGGGGCCCTGGCCAGTGCCCACCCCTGCCCCCAGGGAGATTACTCTAGATTCCAGCCCTCACCTTTGAAGGATGACTCCAAGACTGGGGCTGGTTTGGGTGCCAGGAAGAGCTTCTTGGCATGGCGACTGAGGGCCCCGCCCTGCTCAGAAGGGACAATGAGCTGCCGGGTGAAGCGCGCTCGGTCACGGATATCATAGTTCTGGTCGTACTTGGCCAGACTCAGCACATACTGGGTGAGCAACTTGGTCTGGGGAACAAGAGGTGGGTCGGCAGCTGACAGGGAGGCTGGGGACACAGGAGACTCTGCACCAGACCCTACGTCAAGCTTCTCATCTCCCCGCTTACAACTTTCCCTCCCTGCCCAGCTGGTGCATTTTCTCTCATCTCTCTGGCCCTGACTCCTGACCCTGACTCTGACAACTGCCTCAGGCCAGCAAAAGAGACTGCTCTTTTGGACTGTCCTCCCTCTTGGCCCTAGACTCCACTCTTCCTCAGGTTTTTGGTTCCCAACGCCCCGGGCCCAGACAACCTCTTCACTCTGGGATGACAAGGCAAGTGGAAGTCTGTAACATTCTGCTAGATCTCACAATTTCTATGCTCCGCCACCCGGGGAGAAACTAGTAACAAAAAGAGAGGGGAAATAAACAGGAATCCCTTTGGCGGGAGCTGCCCTCATGCCCTCATCAACCCACATAGCAGATTCTGAGCAACCCTGGGGTCTCGAAGGTCCCAACCTTTCCCTGGAAGGTTCTAATGAGATCAGAACAAACCGTAGCTGCCCATGGGTTTTTGCAAAGGTCATGTAGGGTTCATAGTCTGCAGTCAAGGCAACTACATCCAAGGACCTAAAGTCTGAATTTCTGTCCTCATCATGGCCTAGTCTCACCTGCCTTAACGACGACGGTGGTAGCAGCCATCACTGATGGGGTGCCTTCCAGCACTGAGTACTGTGCTAGGTGCTCCACACTGCCTTACTTAATCTCCACAACTTTCTGAAAGGTAGGTGTGATTGCCCCATTTTACAGAGAAGCTGAGTCAGTAAGTCTCTTCTCCGAGGCTGAGGAGCGCTTTGTGCTGCATTCAGGCTTGGACCTGCCAGAGCCGCACCCTGTTCACTTCCCCTCACTGTCTACTTGCTGACATGAAGGTGCTACCCTGACCCAGGTCTCCATGTCTCCATCTCTTGGGACCAAGATCAAAACCACCAAGTAATCTATAGCTAGAGTGCCCAGAAGCAGTGGGGACAAGTAGGAGGGAGCCTGGAACCAAGTCTGGTCTCCTAAGGTTTATGGTGATATACTGTCACATCCAGCCTCAGACATGGCTGGCCCAGCTAATTTGGCAGGAACATCAGGCAGATATCCGTGAGGGACAGACCCCCAGAAGCAGACCCAGAATCAGAGCAGCTATACAATTGTCCCACTTTACTCAAGAAAGCCACTGTGACTCCATTCCTACCTACAACATGGCCCAAGGGACTTTGGTGGCTTCATGTTCAACTCAGTCCCTTCCAGCGTCGCGGCACCTGAAATACTGTTCACAGATAAGTACTCCCAACCACATACTCCCCTAATACAATGGGTTAAAAAATAGGAAAATAGGATGCCATTGCAATGAACTTCATTACAGACCAGGCTCTGCCTTGGCCAGTCACCTTCTAACCGGCCAAGGCTGGTGGATGCCCTTATCAACATGGTCCACTATCAAGATGCTGCTGCTCCCCCTTTTGGTTTGAACAGTGTCCTCCTCCACAGACTTCCACCTGGCTGACCACAGATTCCCCCTCCTCCTAAAGTCCTTGCCTGATTCTAGAAAGAACTGTTCACGATTTGACCCATCTGTCCACTGCCTTAACTGCATGTCAACAACCAATGTAAGAAGCAGCCAGTCCATCCACCTCACACCTCAACATTGCAGGATTCACCCATAATAATTCGCTACCCTTCTTCACCCCATGGCCCCATTCCCCTCAGATCATGGCATCTAGTCCTTACTACCAGGACCCCTACCTCACCTAACCAAGAAGCACAGTAATTATGGGCTGCTGAAGAGGGCCTATGAGACACACTTCAGTGCAACGAGAACAGAACAAGGCTCCAACTGACCGGTGGGCTCCATCTGCCAGGGAAGAATTTTAGGTGGGAAACACTGACTCCCTTTCAGTAACCTATGCCAATATACCTGCTACCTTGCAACCACCTCTTAAATCATGCTCAGAAAACTGGCTACTAAAAGAATTAAAATACATCCTCCCCTACCACACTACCCATAAATAAGGTCTAGGTGGATGTGGCAGACAGACTCTAAGGTCCTCCTTGCCAACCCCTGCCTCCTGGTGTTTGTGCCTTTGTGTAATCCCATGCTTATGTGTCATTACAGAAGACTCCCTCTTGCTCGTAAACTGGCTCGAGAGACTTTCTCCCTTGTGGCTTTGAAGAAATAAGTGGCCATGTTGGGAGGCCCATGTGGCAAGGAGCTAAGGGCAGCCTCTAGAAACTGAGGGTCATCTCCAGCTGACAGCCAGCAGAAGCCAGGGCCTCAGCCTACAACCACAATGAACAGAATCCTGTAACCATGTGAGGTTACCAAGTGAACCCTTCCCCAGCAGAGCCTCTAGATGAAAACCCAGCCTTGGCTGATTGTAGTCTTTCCTAAGACCTAACTAAGCCATATCTGGACTCTCACCCATAGAAACTGTGAGAAAATAAGCATGTGTTGTTTTAATAAGTTTATGGTAATTTATTATGCAGCAGTAGAAAACTAATACAACGGACTAAAAATGTGAAAATAGAAAAAAATCTGGAGGAAATTGCAAGTTAAAAACTTAATTGATATATGAACAGGAAAAAAACCTTCAAATATGAAAGCATTGGAAGGAAACAGAAATGAAAAGATTAAAATATTGGATAATACACAAATGTACAACTTCTGGAGGACTATATATAGGCATAACAAAAATTTTTTTTAAAGCTAAGGAAATATAAGATTAACGGTGGTCTTTTCTAAGTGGTAGGCTTATGGATAATTTAAACTTAGCAATTTTTTTTATTGTATGAGTGTTCTATGATGAGCATGCATTATCTTCATTATATAAAAATGTTTTTTTTTACTTCTCCAGAATTTATCAGAATCTTCCAACTACTGTAGAGGGAGCCAGATGGAATGACTGTATCTCCTTCTGTGCCACTGGCAGACCCTCCTCCCACACATTTCATTTCCCAAAAGCCTTCTAGGCTGTTGCCTCAGGTGCCATACCCAGGCAGTTGTAATAACTACCTTCACTACCAACCCCCCCACTGCCCCCCGCAAGCCCTCTGTCTCCGCATCTATTGAGCCTTTGTGGCCTTTGGTCTAGAATCTGATTATCTGCTGATAATAGAAGGACAGAGGCCTCATCACGGTTATCTCCTTGGCCTCAGCCTGGGCCAGGAACTGGCACGCAGTGGGGTCAGGAAGTTGGGAGGAATGACAGGGATCACTGTGCCCTTTTAGCCAGTCCAGACTGTCACACATGGTACCAGCATGGGTGGAAGCATCACTGCTGTTTTGCAAGGACAGTCATATGCATATCCAAATCACCTCCCTCCACCACTCCCAGAAGAGGCTAGGAAGAAGGGAGAAAGAAAGGGAGGACAAAATTTCTCTTTATTGAATCAAAGAACCATTCTAAGGGGCCTGTGCCTCCAATGGCCCACCTTCAGGTGAAGGAGAGCCTGCAGGGCAGTGTCCATTTGCCTGAATAGCCTATGCTGGTTGCCCTATGGGGGGTTAGGACCCCTTATGTCCTGCCTAAGAAGGGGGTTCAGTTACATATACCCACAGCTCTCTGTGATAACCCTGACGCAGCTCTTTCTGCTGTGTTTAAGATGTTTATTATTGTCCTTTTTCTCCTACTTGGCTACTACTTGGCTATGAGCATTTGGAAGCCAGTAAACATTCTCACTATCATATCCCTAGGACATGGCTCAGTGCCAGCCAAATAGCAAGCACTCAGGAAATGTATGTTAAATAAATGAACAAATGCACATGTAGGTAACAGTGACAACTAGGGGAAATGCCATGAGGACAGGCCCGGGCTTATGAAAACATGCCATCTTTGCCATCCAGGGGCTCGGGATCCTCCCATCAGAACAAAGGAGGCACACAAATATCTGTCCAATGATTGAACGCTTCCCCATGGTTCACTCCCTACCTTCTCTCTCTCCAATCTGTTTCCCCCACAATACCAATACCCACAGACCCAGTACCTTATGGCCTGCACACACAGATGCTGTCCTTTCTCACTCCTCACAAGAGTCCCAGAACTTGGTGGCCCTGACTACCCCATCTTGAGTCCCTGGGGCTCACTCTAGCCACCATGGATCAAAGGAGCCACTAAAGAAGCACAAGTGCCACCATACAAAGAGTCCCATGGAATGGCAGAGAGACTACCTTCAGGCCTGGCAGGGATGTCATAATTTCCAGGGTACAGCCCTGCTGCAGATCCCAGCCATGCACCCAGATGTTTTGCTTCAAGGGTTGGCAAACTTTTTCTATAAAGGGCCAGAGAGTGACTATTTCAGGCTTTCGTGTGCTGTAGAGACTGTTGCAACTAGGCAACCCAGCTGTTGTAGCACAAAAGCAGCCACAGACATTATATAAATGAATGAGCATGGATATATTCCAATAAAACTTTATTTACAAAAACAGCAGCAGCAGGCTAGATTTGGCCCATGGGCAGTACTTTGCTAACACCTGTCTTATTTACCTGAGTGGGATAGTGAGTGTGGGAACTGTCATGGTGTTTGGTGTCCCCAACAACTTGAAAAACTCAGTGCATAATGCTTTATTCTTAGGAGAATCTCCTGGGGCCATCTCAGGGAATGCTGGACATCCAAAAGGCTATTAACACCCTGATATTCTAGCTTAGTTGAGCCTCATCCTTGGCTGTGGTATCTTTTGTAAGCACTACCTTGGGAATAACAATGGCCATTCCCAATGGCACCACCTAAGCCTGAGCAGAAACCCACCCCCTTAATCCTGTCACAGACTGGCCAAGCATCATCAAGATTTGAGAGGAAGCACAGACCACACCTCCCAGGATTCATGTTCTCCCATCAGTGCCTGTCCCTACTGGCCCCTTCCCTCAGCCCTGCTCAACTCTGGTTCTTCACAGCCCATGTTCCAAAGGCAGCAGATAGGCATGCTCCTACTTGCAGACTGGAGGTCACGGCCTCAAAGGAGAAACTCTTCAACAGTGACCACCAGCCCAAACAGGCTCCTGAGTCCCCATATCTGTGGACACTGGGGTAGCATTGGTTACCTGGGAAGATCAGCCACCTGCCCTGATTCCCCTCTTCAGAAAGGGGAGCTGGAGTTTAGGCTTCCCTGGGGAGGGCAAAAGAATATTGCCTAGACAGTTTCTGGGGATCAAAGTGTTTGGGGAGCATCTCTCAATCTTTACCTGCTTAGAGTTGGTCAGGTAGAGCTTGGCTGCCAGATTGATGACCTGCAGCTTGACAATATCTTCCTCTGCTGTGAATGACTTGGCCATTTTTCTCAGGACATCAGGTGCAATCTTGGGGACATGCTCACAGTACTCTCCAATGAGCCACAGGATGCTGGCTCGGGCCATAGGCACCTGTGGGCATGGGAGAGGAGTTAGGACTGGAGTAAATGTGGGAACATGGACAGCTAAGGAAATGGCACTCCCTGATCTGTGCTGGCCTTCTGCATTATGGGTTTTCTGGAAATGAGAGTGTGGGGTGGTCAGAGGAGATTAGAAGGTGGGCATTTCTGGAGAACATCTCCCCTCTGCCCCAGAATTTCATTAGCATGGGCACAGCCTTGAAGCCCCACAGTCAGTCATGGTTTAAAGGACTGATTTTCTGGATTCACTGTACCCTCAATGCTTTACTGCCATTCTTTCTTTTTTTTTAAAAGATGACCGGTAAGGGGATCTTAACCCTTGACTTGGTGTTGTCAGCACCACGCTCTCCCAAGTGAGCGAACCGGCCATCCCTATATAGGGATCGAACCCGTGGCCTTGGTGTTATCAGCACCGCACTCTCCCAAGTGAGCCAGAGGCCAGCCCCTTGCCATTCTATTCTTCCTGAATCTTCAGGAATGCCTTGTTTGGCTGTTGCAACTCAGCAGTGCAACAGAAAAACACAGGATTTGTCCATCAGTTATCCTTGGCCAGAGCTTTAGAGAGAAAACAAGTGTGGTGGTAAAGACCAGGGAGCTCAGTGAGGGATCCCCCCAGGAAAGGCAAATCTTGGGCAACAAGGTCAGGGTCACATGGTCCAGTTGCTCTCCTCCTTCCACCTGAAGACCTTTCAGAGCCAATGAAGAAGGTGTGGAAGTTGACTTTGATACCACGAGAGTATTTAATTACAGGGTCTTTTTTTTTTTTTTCCTTTTTGTCTTTTTTCGTGTCCGGCAATGGATCGCAACCCTCAGTGTTGCGCCTGCACCGGACCGGGACCGGCAACGGAATCGCAACCCTCGGTGTCGCGCCCACACCTCGCCCAGCCAGTGAGCGGGAACCGGTCTGTATGTGGGATCCGAACCCTTGGCGGGAGTGCCGCCGCGCTCCCAAGCGGCGCACTGTAGCAGTGTGCCACCGGGCCGGCCCTAATTACAGGGTCTTAAGATCATGGGGAAGATGTCAGGGTGGGGAGAGAAACATGGGGCTACTCCCTCACCTGGATGTTGTCTGTGAGCTTTGCCAAGTGTTTGATGATCTCCCCATGCTGTGCTGGCTGCATCTGCAGCAATTTCTTAATGACGACCACCGACTCTGCAACCACAAGCTCTATGGAAGGAGAATGTGTGTATGGACCCTGGGATAGGAAGAGGGGCACAACCAGGTGGACAGACACACCTGCAATGCCCCCAGGCCTTTGACTCTCTTGCTCAATGCCCTGCCTTTCTCTAGTGGCCTTCAGGGGTACAGAAGCATGTGAACACTAACTAAGGCAGACAGACCAAGGAACACTTATTGTGCCTAGTCAAACAGGTGTATACCCATTGGCCAGCAGAGTCATACATACAGGCAGACACCCACCGGTCACCAAGGTTAGTCAATCAGACAGGCAAACACTGACCATCACGGTTGGATAGCAGCTGTACCAGGCCGTTGAGGCAAGTGTCACGGACCCGTCCTATGTTAGTTGCACAGCGTCCAATGGCCTGGATTGTGGCTGCCACAAAATCCTTGTCCATGCTGCGAATGTAGGTCTGCAGGACACCACAACAGAGTAACCTCCAGCAGGTAGCAGCCCCTCAGTGATTCTGCAGGCTTGAGGGTGACCTCTGGGAAGGCTCTGACCCCCTCATTTTATGACTTATCAAGCCAGACACTAAATCTTGGGAGAAGGAGTGAAACCCTATCTCCCACCCAGTGATTACTCAGTTCAAAGCCAGCAGAAGGCATTTTTGAAGGGGGACCTAAAATAGCAGTTTCTCCAGTTTTGGGCTCTTAAGAGACAGTTTGGCCCACCAAAGAAATGCTCAATGAGCACAAGGATCTGAAGGGCACCTCTCTTGGGCCCCTCTGGCTGGGAGCTTCCCCCTGACCTGTACCTGGAATTCCCGTAGGACAGTAGGGATGTTGGTCTCATTGGCCAAGTTGGTCAGCACTTCCAGCTGCGGGAGGGGTGGAGAGACAGGAAATGGGCAGGATGGCCAGTGGGCTTTGTGGGCTTTCATTCAAAATACACTTCACAGACCAGAAAACAATCGTCAGGATAGCCCTGCATCATCTTTAGACTGATGAGGGCACTGACAGATCACGAAACTTGTCCAAAATGCAAGAGGACTAATTTGATTCTAAAATAGATTCCCTGAGAGAATATGCTTGTAATATAATCATGTCACCTCCCCACCCCTACTGAAAACTTAAAACTTCTTATTGCTTTTAGGATAGAGGCCAACGTCTTTACCATGGTCTGTAAGCCCCTGAATGATCTGTTGTCCACTTCTCATCCCCACCACTCTCCCCCTGGCCCTCTCTGCCCCAGCCACACATCCCTGCCTGCCTCAGGGTCTTCGTACATACTGGAGTTCTTCCTATTTCTGTCCCTGCATTTACCTAAATAAGTCACATCCATTCTTCAGGGCTCAGCTCAAGCCTCATCTCCTCAAGGAAAACTTTCCTGACCCCAGACTAGATGAGGTCCCCCTATTTTATGCTCTTATAGCTCTCTGTACTCTTCTTTCTTCCCTTATATCATGAACGGATTTTTACACTTGTCTCCTGCTTAGCTGTTTAATGTCTGCTCCTCCGCAGCGTAGAGTGTAAGCTCCACAAGGGTCAGGGTCCCTGATTAGTTTGCTCCATCCTTTACTCCTAGATCTAGCAATGTGACTGACAGATGTTCAGAAGGGTTAGAAGGATTAACTACTGCTGAATGAAATCACTGAATGTTGAGGCAGCAGAGCGGGAATGGAAGAGGTATGGGCTCCTGCCACTTTTCTGTTCATGTATATTTGCACAAAAGCCTGAGAAAGCTGCTATGGGGGCCAGGACACTGTGGTGGGAGACAAAAAACTGCAGTGGGAAAAGCATGTACCTTGAAGTTAGCAGAATTATGTGACCTTGGTGAAGTTATCTCACCTCCCTGTGACTACATTTTTACAAAATGGAGCTAATGTACACTTCCTAGGGTTATTATGAAAATCAATTACTTCATATACAGAGTGGCAAGTGTATACCAGACAAAGGGCAGTTCCCTTCTCCCTGGCCCCCCACTCTCATTATCCTTGCTTGCTGAGCAAACAGCTCCAGCTGGGGCTTGCCTAGAACTAGGCAGGCATCCAGGTGGCCACTGTGAGTTATGTGAGTGGGTATGTGGGTGCTGGGAGGGGAGGGAGAGGCTGCAGGCACGTCCTGCATCACTCACCTTCAGGATCTTGATCTGGGTAGGGTCGGTGGACCTGATGTAGAAGCTCTTCAAGTAGGGCTCAAACATACCCTAGCACAAGAGAGGCAGCCCGGGAGAGCTCCACCGCAGCCCCAGGCCTGCCTCTCTTCCAGAGCCACCCACCTCCTGACCCAGGGCCCAGGACCCTGCCGGCCTCATCACTGTCCTCCATTTCTCACGTCTTCCCTCCTCTATCTCAGATCTGACTGGCCCTTTCCTCACTGGCCACCCCTACCCCCCAGAACCCCCTCAGGATCCAGGCCCCGCTCCTCGCCTGCATTTGGGGTCTCCCCTTCCCCATGCTCTGCACAGCCAGGACATTCCCCTTACTTCCCGTCCCCACCCCCGGTCCCAACAGAGTCCCCAGAGCCCGCAGGAGCCGGCCCTTGGTCGCATGCTCACCCGGCGCTTGATGGACATGGTGGCCACATTCTGGAGCACAACGTACTGCACCTCACTGCGGACAGGACGGGTCGGTAGGGGTAAGGGGCAGCGGGGAGTGGGGAAGGGAGTGGGGCCAAATAGCTTGGCGGAGAGGATCAGTGGGAGGAGGGCGAGAGTGAGGTCAGCCTGGCAGGTGGTGGGCGGAGGGTGAGCACGGCGGTGAGGCGTGGGGGCGCGGCCCAGGGGTGGGGGCGCGGCGGGGGCGGGGCGCACCTGTGGCTGCGCAGCAGGCGCACTAGCGCCTTGGCGATGACGCCCACCTCCGCCTTGGGCGCCAGGTGGAAGTAGAGCTGCGCCACCGCCATGACCACCGCGGCGCTGCGGCTCTGCAGCAGCGGCTTGGTGTTGCGCAGCAGCAGCCGGTGGTCCGGGTCCATGACGTAGGGCTTTCGGGCGGGTAGCGCCGCAGCGGCCGCCTCCTCCGACCCCGGGCCCTTGGCCTCGTCTTCCTCCGAGCCGTAGAAGGCTTTCTCGGGGTTCTCCTCTAGCAGGGATTCCTGGAGGGGAGACGGCTGGGCCTGTGGGCGCCTTCCCTGGGCGCCCTCCTGCCCGCCCTGCCTGGGGCCCTGGGCCCACTCACGTTCTGGGTGGGGCTCAGGAACTGCGTGCGGGCGTAGCGAGTGAGCATGCTGATGATGACCACCTGCCCCCACTCCTCCACGTCGATGAGCAGGTTACAGAGTTTCCGGTAGTTTTTGTGGATCAGGTCTATGCGTTCCGGGCACACCTCCTCGAAGGCCATCACCACGCTGCCTGCCACCAGCTGGGGAAGGGAGAAAGGCAAGAGAGGATGACCAGGAAGCACAGAAGGCCCACTGTCCGCTACCTTTCCACCACCCACCCCTCTGTGCCAGTATACACTCACTGTCGTCTTGTCGGCCAGAAGCTTCTCAATGACTTCTATCAGCTGGTCCTTCTGGTCAGAGTCCAAACTGAGGGAGAAGTTGAGAGGAATTTGCCCCCTTCCCCCGTAGCCTTCCCAATATCTGCCCAAGCCACGCTCACCTCCTGTACCCCAGCCCTGTTCACAAAGAGGTGCGAGCCCTCACCTCTATTGTCTTCCACCTCTGTCAGTTCCCCTCTGAGAAACAGCCTGCAAGACTTGGGAGAGGCCAGGGTGGACTGGGAGCTTAGGAACCAGTCCCCTGAGGAGCGAAGGGCAGGGCTGAGGCGTACCTATAGAGTTTAGGGATGGCATGGGCAGCTGTTTTCCGCACGTAGGGTGACATGTCTGAGGCGGCTTCCTTGATGGCTAGCATCATGATGGGCACTATGATGGGCACACGGATGCTAGAGAGGACGCGGAGGGCACTGGCACGAATCAGCTGGTTGGGGTCCTAAGGACAGAGGTGGAGACAGAGCCATGAGAGGGCACCAGGTACCCCGATGGGATAAGCCACACTTTTGGACGTCACTGTCCCTAGCTACCACCAGCTCTTGCTTCCCTACCTCCTGACCTGAGGCTGGATGATGTGTCATGTTTGGGGGCACTGCCTCTTGACTCTGGCTGCAGAAATCTGACACCTGAACAGGTGTGGCAATGGGCAGCTTCACTTTCAGAAACAGTGAAAAACTTTCAGAACACCTAAAATTTCTGAAACACTTCCTGTTCCTTAGGAGTGGTGGTGGTGGTGGGGGGGGGTTCTTTGTATTTATGCTTGAGGTGATCTCCAGCACATGCAAGCTGGTCTCCCTTCCAAAGGGTTCATCCTTACATTTCTCTCTCCCAGCAACTTCTCAAAAGCTGCTCTTCTTCCAGTGTTTAAAACAGAACAGGTGTGTAGGCCCCACCTCTTTGCAGCTATTGCATCCTATATACATCTGATGAGTATTAGACACCATTGTAATCACAGGGCTTAGGGCTGTCTTCCCACTAGCAGCAGCAGCAGCTATAAACTACTATTTATCTTGGAGAATGACGGACAATGGGAGAGGTGCTAGAACACTAAAGGATAGGTGTTTCCTTGATTTTCTAAAATGTGGAAAGAGAAGATCCACAATACTATAGGTGAAATTGATGGTAATTCCTAGAAAAATTCTGGAATTAATTTTTAAACATGTTTTTCTAAAGCCATCTTATTAGAAAAGCAGGAGTCTTTTCTTAGAGACAAATCATATCATATCAACTGCTGAAACCCATTTTCCTTTTTTTAAAAAACATTTTTTGGAAATGATTATAGATTCACAGGAAATTACAAAAAAAATCTGTTTTCCTTTTTGATAGGCTAACTAGGTTGGTAGGTATTCGCACTATGTATCTTGATTTCAGCCAAGTGTGTGTGTATGAGTCTCTCATAGCCCTTCCTGCATTGTCATTTTTGATGTTTCACCTTTTAAATAAGCATTTTAAGAGCAGAATTCATGTCTGTTTTCTCTCTGTATCACTCACAGCCCTTTGCACATGAAAGGTGTTCAATTGTTTTGCCATTGAATAAGATCCCTTCAAATAACACAGGAAAATGCTGGCTGTTAGTTGGACTCACAACTTGGTAAAATATTATACTTGGGGAAGGTTTATTAATAGATCAGTGTCAAGGGCTGGCCCGTGGCTCACTTGGGAGAGTGTGGTGCTGATAACAACAACGCCACAGGTTCAGATCCCTATACAGGGATGGCCAGTTAACTCACTTCGGAAAGTGTGGTGCTGACACCACCAACTCAGGGGTTCAGATCCCCTTACCGGTCATCTTTTAGAGAAAAGGAAAAAAAAAATAGATCAGTGTCAACCTGGAAACATGATATGCCACAGGACTCAAAGTCTGTTGCCCCAGTCCGAATAGTTTATTAATATCTTGGAGGAAGACACAATAGCAGGAGGGACAAAATTAATATTCAGAATCATCTTGGCTTAGACCTGATACTGAACCAATAAAATGAAATATAGTTGGGTTCATAGGGGATTCAGGCATCAACTGCACAAAGACAGGATGTAGGGAGACCTAGATTCTCTGCTTGCCAACGAGAGGTTTGACTCCATGAGTGTTCAGCTAAAAAAGTAAATATGGCCTTAGCCTGGGCTGATAAAAAGAAGGAAGAACACTGGACAGATATAACTGGTTTCAGTGTGCAGGAGAGGCCAAGAACCAGTAACAACAACAAAAAAGGAAACAAGTTGTTGAGGAATACAGGTATGATACCATTTACAGAAAAATATTCTATATTTAGGAATATGTAAATAAGCTGTAAAAGAAAAATGCACATGAATGATAAATGGGAAGATACATAGGAGGTTTTGGCTATTTGATAAATGTTTCATTTCTTGTGCTGGATATGTTCATTATACTTTATGCCTTTTGTGAGTCGGGAGTAAATTTTTAAAAATTATAGCTACGGAAGTTTCAACACAATGTAATGAGTAAAAAACAAAAACAGAGGGCTGGCCAGTTAGCTCAGTTGGTTACAGTGTGGTGCCGATAACACCAAGGTCCAGGGTTCAATCCCTGTACTGGCCAGTGCCAAAAATAACTCCAAAAAACAAACAAACAAACAAAAAACAGGTGTAGTTAGTTGCCTTAAGATAAAGCATTGCTTTATGAAGGAGTGAGGTCTCTATCCCCCTATCCCTGGGACCTCACTGAGTTGACCTGTCAAGAGATGTTCTAGAGCAAAAATTGGCACACTACAGACCTTAGGCCAAATCTGTCTGCTGCCTAATTTTTATAAAGATTTATTGGAACCTAGCAATGCGCACTCGCTTATGGCTTCTTTGCAGCACAAGGACAAAATTGAGTTGTTGCCTGCAAAACCTAAAATACTATTTGGCACTTTATAGAAAGTTTGCTAACCCCTGTTGTAGAGAAATCATTGCATTGAGTTGGACTAAATGAGCTCTGGTATTCTAGAAGGGGAAAGGGGCAGATTGTAGAAACTACAGGTGAATGCAAAATCTGTGCAAAAATTCCAGAATAGTTTTTATAAAATGATTTAACGCTGATACAAACCAAAAGATTACTTGCCAATCTGAGATTGAGCCCATGGTTTTGACTTGTAAAAAGAACCTAGCACAATGCATGGTGTAGTCACTCAAGTGTTTGCTAAATGAATGAATCATATATGCAAATGACCATGCTTTCTACCACATCCCAAAGAAGCAGACTGTCAATCCCTCCTGCTGGCCATAGCAGATTAAACCAGGGCTGAGCCCTGGATTTGGGCAGTCAATTCTCAGTCTGCCAAGCAACCTACAGAATTGCTGGATATGAAAACATGAGCTAGGCCTCTCAGAGTCCCTCTCATAGGAATTTGAACTGTAAGTGTGGAAAGAATAGGAGAGTTAATGGTTGTAAACAGAGCTAAAAATCTAATATGGAGAGTAGAATTGCCTTGATATGGCTGTCTTTACCCTTGAGGTATCTTAGAGGAACTAGGAAAGCACCCAGTGGAGACTTATGCATACATTTAACATATGTGAACTCAACTAGTATAGTCCTGGGTAAGACAAAAGGTGAGAATATTTGCAATTTAAATAGTGTAGGGATTCAGCACACCACTCTAGTCTAATGGACTTGAATTTCCCCATTGTCCCTCCCTTTAGGTGATTTCAATAAATGCTTGCCTCAAATTGCATTTCACCATAACAGATGTGTTCCCTGTATTTAAAGATGGATATTTTGCATACACTGGGGCATCTAAGACCAGCCAACTACTGCTTCTGGTGCTAAACAGAAGAAAGACTGATTTGTTCCAACTCTAAAGGAATAATTGGCTATACTGAATTTATTCAGAATAGAATTCTCCTGGTTAGTTTTGTCGTCTGTGCTGATCTTAGAACCCAAGTCAGAGGCAACTCTCCTGCATGGTCACCTGTGTTGTTTTCTTCTCAGTGGCTCTTTTGTTCTCAGTAAACCCATCTGTCCTCCTTACCAAGTTCCAGGTGAAGAGGTTATAATAGTCATTGTTCTTTACAGATACCTGGACAAGGTGAGCCTGTCAGTACCAAGGCTCTAATGCCCAGAGGTGAGGAATCCAGGTCAGCAGCTCCCCTCACAGAATCCTTTCCTTGAGGAGGATGACTTCTGCCTGGCTATGGGCCACAACTCACATCTTTATACCAATGGAGGTGAGAGCTGAGGGGCTTTCCACTGGGGGAAAAAGTGGTTCATACTTCAGGCAGCCATTACCACAGGCTTCTCAGCAGAGAGACACGCGCCCTGGGCACCCACTTCATCTCTCATGCCCTTTCTATGCCTGGCCTCTACTCTCTGAGGGTCTGGCTGGTCCTCTCCTCTGACTCTTACCCTCCCAACTTTAGGCAGGTAGGTAGGGGCCTCCAGAGCCTGCTCTGATGTTTATGGCTACTCCATGGGCCCACTCTCAATACAATGCCAATGAGGCCCAGGCCCCAAGAAGGCAAGCTCTGACCTTCAGGCCACGCTGGAAGGTGGAGATGGACAGCAGGGCCAGGTCTTGCTGTTCCTCAGCATAGCGCACCAGGTACACGTAGACAAGCTTCTTCACCTGGCAGACAGGACGTTTCTTAGCAGGGGCTAGTGCCTCCACCCCTGAGATGTCATCACCCCAACCAGCTGCAGTCCATGGGGACAAATTTTTCCAGTGGGGGAGAATCCCCATGTGTATCCTAGGTCTTTTACCCTGATCCACACCCAGTTGAGGGACATGTAGACAATGTCTTCTCCTGGATCAGGGACATTTCTTTTTTTTTTTTTTCCTTTTTGTCTTTTTTCATAACGGGATCGCAACCCTCGGTGTCGTGCCCGCACCGCGCTCAACCAGTGAGCAGACCGGTCTCTATATGGGATCCGAACCCTCGGTGGGAGCGCCGCCGCACTCTACCAAGTGCGCCACCGGGCTGGCCCGATCAGGGACATTTCTGAGCAGGTTGGGCCCCTGGGGCTGAATTGTTTCCGTCCTCACTCCCCACCCAACTTGGGTTTAGTCCTGGCAAAGGTGGGAATGAGAGATCCCTCACTGGGTAGTGCTCACCTCTATGTTCTTACAGGCCACGTTCTTCACCACTGCAGGAAACAGGTCTGAGGCATTCTTTCCACGGGCAATCATCTGGGTGGTGGGGTCAAGGTAGGAAAGGAGAAGGAGGAGGCACAGCACTGATTAGGGGAAGGTCCACAAGGAGCCAAGGAGAGCTGCTCTTGGGCATCCAGGCCCCTCCCCATGGGAGGCTCCCTCCTTCCCCTCTCACCGCCACAATCCTCTTCATGGCCTCCAGCTTGAGGGAATCCTTATTTGTGTCCAGCATCTCCTTCAGGTCATCATGCCTGGTGGGAGGCACAAGAGGTCAGCTGAGGGCACTAAGGTGGGGGTGGGGATATCAGGAGGGTCCAGGCGGAAAGAAGGGACACAGGCAGGGAAGGCTAAGGCAGGCAGAGGGGAGGGACCAGAGCCAGTAGGGAAAGGAATAAAATAAAGATCAGGGGACTTGAGGTTGGGAGAAACATGTGGGCCAGCCAGTGTTATGGGTTCAATTGTGTCTCCCCGCAAAAAGACATGTTGAAGTCTTAACCCCTAGTACTCTCAGAATGTGACCTTATTTGGAAATAGGGTTGTTGCAGATGTAATTAGTTAAGTTAAATGAGGTGATAATGGAGTAAGCTGGGTCCCTAATCCAGTAGGTCTGGTGTTCTTATAGGACAGCCATGTGAAAAGACAGAGACACAGGGAGAACCCCATGTGAAGACGGAGGATTGGAGAGATGCTGCTGCAAGCCAAAGAATGCCAAAGATTGGCAGCAAACCACCAGAAGCTAGGAAGGGGCAAGGAAGCATTTCCCTACAGGTTTCAGAGGGAGCATGGCACTGTCAACACCTTGATTTCAGACTTTTGGCCTCCAGAGCTATAAGGCAATTTCTATTGTTCTAAGCAACCCAATTGGTGATACTTTCGTTATAGCAGCTGTAGGAAATGAATATAGCCAGGGACCGAGAGCCAGGAGACAAGAGGAGGTGTTTGGGGTGGGAAGGTATGGGCCCTGCTCAGGACACAGGGCCAGCTGGATGGAGAGGAGGACAAGTGGAAAAAAGAAAGAAGGTGGGTGACAAAATGAGAGCAGGAAACATTTCCCCGCACCAAGTGTGTTTCCAGGTCCTGACCCACAGACCAAACATTCTAAGGACTGGACAGGCCCCAGAGACTCCAGAGATGGCCTCACAATGAAGGCCAAACCCATCACTCAACATTCGACAGTCATTCAAGAAAGTTATGAAGCCTGAGAAATAAAGATTTGAATAACTGACCCCTTGCACTTGGCAGAGGGGAATAACAGTAGTGCCCAAGCCAATACGTAGATTGTATGCAGTGTCCATTGAAATTTTGAAAGGAGCACTCTGTCAAACTTCTAGAAGTGACAGCAAAATTTATCTGGGAAAAAGAAAAATCAATAGGTAAGAATTCCAAAAAATAATTGTGGGAAAAGAGGAGAATGATGACAGACAACTCACCCTACTGGACTTCAAAACATAAAACAACATGACCGTGAGAAAAACTGTATGGTTCCTGGTTAAAAACAGAAGGTCAAAGGTCACGGGGAATGTCAGAAAGGGTCTAGGTTGATACATTAGGAACAAGTAGCTCACCAATGGAAGAAAGAACTCTTTTTTTCCCTTAAATAAATACTGTTGGGACAAATGCTGTGCTATAAAAAATTTAACTTATGCACATATTTCACACCAAAATAAATCCCACATTTATTCAATAGTTAAATTATTTTTAAATATGGAAGAAGGAAGGGGAAATTTTTTTTTTTTAGTTATAAAATTATCAGTAACAGGATGGCTAGGTTTTTGGTTTTTTTTTTAACTTTGGTATATAAAAATTAAGAAAAAAATCAACTATATGAGTTTTCTACAGCTACCATAACAAAGTACCACAGATGGTGGCTTAAACAACATAAATTACTTTTCTCACAATTGTGGAGGCTAGTAGTCAAAGATCAAGGCGTCAGCAGGGTTGGTTTCTTCTGAGGACTCTCGCCTTGGCTTGTAGGTGGACATTGTGAAATTGTGAAGAAATATGTGTGTGGTCTCTGCACCCAGTTCCTGAGACAGAGCTCCTAAAACCCTTTTAATTTCCTGAGTGATAGGAGCAGCCAACAGATCTCCAGAATCACGTGGAACTTCCTGGGTGATAGGAGCATCTTTTATTATTAGAGGGTTGGAACTTTCAGTCCTACCTACCACCTGACTGCCAGGGAGGGAAGAGGACTGAAGGCTGAATTGATAACCAATGGCCAATGACATAATCAGTCACACCTACATAATGAAGCCTCCATAAAAACCCAAAGACAGGGTTCAGAGAGCTTCCCGATGGCTGAACATATGGAGGTGCCTGGGAGGTGGTGTGCCTGGAGAGGGCACAGAAGTTCCATGCCCCTTCCCACATAATTTTCCCTGTCCATCTCCTCTGTTTGGCTGTTCGTCTGTATCTTTCATAATATCCTTTTTATAATAAATGGGTAAACATAAGTTTCCCTGAGTTCTGTGAACCACTCATAGTTGAACCCGAGGAGGGAGTTATGGGAACCCCCATTTTATAGCCAGTTGGTCAGAAATATAGGTGATGATCTATACTACTTGCAATTGGCATCTGAAGTGGGGGTGGGGGCAATCTTGTGGGGCTCAGCCCTCAACCTGTGGAATCTGACACTATCTCTAGGTAGATAGTGTCAAAATTGAATTGAATTGACTTATAGGACACCCAGTTAGTGTCTGCCAGAGAATTGGTTGTTGGTAGGGAGAAATCCCCACATATTTTAGTGACCAGAGGTGAAATGTTTTCTGGTGAGAGTGGTGTGTGTGAGTGTTGGAAAAACACACTTTGTTTTTTTCTGTTTCTTACAACTGCCTTCTCCCTGTGTCTTCCCATGGTCTTCCTTCTGTGTGTGCCTATGTCCAAATCTCCTCTTCTTTGAGGGACACCAGTCACATTGGATTAGGGCCCCCCCAATGACCTCATTTTAACTTAATCATCTCTTTAAAGACCATATATCCAAAGACGGTCACATTCTGAGGCATTGGGGTTAGAACTTCAACATAAGAAATGCGGGGGACACAATTCAGCCCATCACAGCAACAAAAGGGAAAATATTGGGGATATGGTGAATAAAAATTTAATATTCAAAATAGATTTTAAAAACTGATATAAATTTATAAGATCCGTGTCCAACATTCACTGTCAAGGGCTACAGCAAGCCCCTCTGCCATCTGCTTGTCCCTGTCGGTAGACACAGCCCTGAGCTGTTGCTCCTCTTTCGAAGAGTAGAGAGTGGGCTAGTATTGCTCAGCTTGGTGCTCTTGTGTGATAAACAACCTGCTCTGCCATACTGAGAGGGACTGGTGGTCAAGAAGTGAACAGAGAATCGTGGATAAACCCATGAAGAAATGTGTGTATTACAGCTGACAGAGTGGTGTGACAACTGATGCACTCATATGTTGCCAAGACCATTACAAAGTATGGTGAGCAGCTGTGTTTGGGGACACTCAATCCACATTTTATGACCCAGGCACAAGAATCCAGCCTGGAGAAGAATTTCCAATGGTAGAAATTAAAAAGCAGTGTGTGAAAAGTTATTCACAGAAGTGAAATATTTAGAAACAACAGAAAATCAGAAATTGGGGGTAGCAATATTAGGAGAGGAAAGAGCATGGTAATAATCATAAAGAGGCAAATGTGGCTGCTGCTGATACTGAGAAATGAGTAAGTGACAAATGCTGAGAGAAAGAGAAGAACCTGACATAATTCACACCATAGTCACAGGGCTGCAGAAATGCAGGGGCACCTAACAGATCAAGTGAGAAAGGACAGATGGGGCACTGTGAAGTTGATGTCCCCAAAACTGTCTCCCAAAAAGAGAGAATGTCTTTCCCAAAGAGATTTTTGATGGAAAGCAACATAGAAAGATGACACCTTCTAGAACACAGAGGCCCTTGCTCACTGTCTGGCAGGGGCTGAAAAAGATATGCAGCACCAGTCATGTTAATCTAAAACTCCCCCACCTGGGGGATGCTCCCCCAAACCTTCTACTCTCTCATGGCCAAGCCAGGGCCAGAAGACAACCACCTTGTCACCCTCCCAGACACAGACTAGGCTGTCAGTTCCTCGGGGGGCTAGGTGTAAGACAGCTGGGGTGTGGACAGGGGTACAGACCATTCAGCCAGGCCTGGGCAGCACTGAGGTATAGGAAGAATGACAGAGCTGGGCACCAGGTTCCCCATCACACAAATGTGCACCATTGCACCCGCAGGATCCTCCATACAGACACCCCAGGGTCAACTCACCCCACACACACCCATACACTGGTACCACCCACATGTACCACCAACACTTCCATATCCCCCCAACCAGACACACAATCCATAAACAAACCCATACACACCCACAAGAAAACCCTGCAGACATACACTCACAGACCCCCCCCCCCAAACACCACCCACATAAACATACTCTCCACAAAAAAACAAAAAAAAATCAAAAAAAAAAAAAACCAAACCAAACCAAACAAAACAAAACAAAAAAAAAAGGGGCCGGCCCAGTGGTGCACTGGATGGTGCGCCGCTTGGGAGGCGTGGCGGCGCTCCCGCCCGAGGGTTCGGATCCCACATGCGGACCGGTTCCTGCTCACTGGCTGAGCGGGGCGTGGGAGCGGCGCCGAGGGTTGCGGTCCCGTTGCCGGTCCCCGGTCCGGTGCGGGGGCAACACTGAGGGTTGCGATCCGTTGCCGGACACGGAAAAAGAAAAAGACAAAAAAAAAAAAAAAAACATACTCTCCACACATAAGCCCCCACACCCAGACACTCACACAGCTCACCTACATACCCACAAACACACCCCACATCCCCACAGACATATACCATCCTGAGACCTCTCCACACTCCCCCACACCCTCTTACAGACATACACGTCCCACACAGACACACGTGCCACAGTCACACCTAACATACATACAACTTTGACAAAACTTGGCCACTCCAGTCTCATTCACCAAAATGGCCAGTGGACTCCTATTTGAGATTTTTTTTTTTACGATAAATTTAGGTTTCCAAGATCAAATACATCCAGCCTCAGGGATCCTCTGGCCTCTTTTGAGGGGCTGTCCTGGGGTGACTCTTCACTGGGCTTCAGTGGGAAGTAGTCAGAGTTTACCCAGTCTCCTTTAGTTAACTCTGGGTGTTCCCTACAGCTGACTTCCTCACACCCAGGTGTCCTCATCACACCCACAAATGCCACAGGCCCAGACTACTTCAACCCCTAACCCAGTGC